ACATGGGAGTTTAGCCGGTAGGTAAAGCATTTATTTTGGAGCTGCTGGTAATTTTTCTGGCACTGTGAAGGTTAAAGAAGAAGTCTCACCAAAAAACAAAGTCCCTTCTTTCCCCCAGGGGGCAAAGCAGTGGAATAGTTTGAGTTGTAGGAACACCAACAAATTGGGCTTCTGGCAAGAAAGGATTAACTGCACAATCATAAAGCATTTCTTTAAACATTAATCGCTAGAACAACAGTTACATTTTAATTTACTCGTGTGACTTCTTTAAATGTAATCGGCAAAGTAACAGAAGTGCAAAGATATAGATAAATGTTACTGGTGAACCTTTTTATCCTTCTTCTGTGATCCTCACTACTTATAAGTTATGTGTTTCTGCAGGCAGGTATCTTTTTTGTTAGCTTCTCATAATTTCATCTTCTTTAGTCATGTGTGGAAATTCCTTCACGACACAATACTGAACTTGTGATAGCACTTCATAGTAAGGAATGTGAGCATGAATGGTTTATGCTCCATTGGCTTAGTGGCGTGTGTAGTTTAAGAGATTGACAAGTCCCAGAGACCAAGTCAGACCAGGTCACCAGTATATCTAAAATGTACAGCTGGCAGTAACTTTATAACAGCTGTTTGTTTGTTTGTTTGTTTGTTAGTAGCACATGTTCACCTTCAACTTAAAGGGAAACTTTAATGGTAATTAATTTATGCATTTAAACTGATGGTTCAAATTTTTTTTAACATTAAGAGGGTTATTCACAAAGCTAGCCGAAGGATCAGCCGTAGCTCCGGCTGATCCTTCTGCTAGCTTTGGCCACCGGAGTTCAGTCGAACCGAACGGCTGCTGTATAGGCTATTCACTATATATATGGCAATATACTACAGCTCCCGAAGGCGGCAGTGCGGCTCAGCTGAGCTGAAGGCATATGCTTCGGCTAGACTGAGTCGAAGTGGGGCGAAAGCCTCACAACTAACAGCTGAGCAGAGCCAGCCGTGATCTCACGGCTGGCTCCGCCCAGTTGCAATGACAGATCAGTGTCCCCAGGTTACCTGGGAACGCTGAACTGTCATTAAACAATGACAATAAGAAAGAGGATCTCCTCGAAATGCGTTGCTCCTTCATCAGCGCCCCGGGCACGTCCTTCTCCAGCCGTCAGCCACCTTCACTCCATCACTTCCAAAAACACAGCGCCTATGATCAGGGGCAGCCTCTCCATCAGTCCTCCAGCAAACACAGCCCCCAGTCTAAAACTGTTCTTTACTTCATTTTTTGATCCCCGAGTTTACTAACACGCTTGATGACACAATTTCCAGCCGCTATGGCCAAACCCTAGGACCTGTCCTGCCTTGCCCTTACTCCTTTACCTGGAACTGTTACTTTACTGTTAATGTTTCACCTAAGGACACATTATATCTCAGTTAATAAGCTGTAAACGTCACAATACTGTACATCTATGGCTACAGCGTGTGCATTGCTGACAATGTAACCTTCTTAATGTTAAAACAATAATATGTATTGTATAAATCAATTTGACTACACTGACCTGAGCAGAAATTAGAACAATTAATTGCTTTTATATGGAGTGCCTAAAATCATTATTACTAAAACAGTTGAAATAATTGATTTATACAACTGTTCTAAAGGCACATATGAGAAGCTTTAGACAATATCATTGCATGGCATATGTAACTAAGACGTATATTGTCCATTAAATCCTACATTTAGGACTGTTTAGAGTGCCATATGCAATGAGCATGCCATGCAATAGGAAGCATGTAAATGTAAAATGGAGACATCCGCTCTATATTTCCAGGGCACCAGGGTCATTACCTGGCCAGGAACACTAGTTTGTATGGCTGGTTGAGTTTACAAGCAGCTACAAAACTCATTTTACAAGAACAAAGTCTTGATGTGTTTCCAGGTCTCTGTACAGACAACTGAACAGATGCGTATTTGTATTTGCCCTATAAATAAAATTATGTTTGCTTAGGGACTGAAGTTTACTAAAGTAAAAATGCCATGCAGTTATAAAGAACCACTTGTTTATTTTTTAACCGCTCTGCAAAAATGGTATTTGAAATCTGGTTGGTTTATATGGGCAACAAGAAATGTTCAAACGTGCAAACCTTTCATAAATCAGTTCTATAGTGATTGCCTGATTTTAAATCTATATGTGGTAATATTTTTCTCTGTACTGAGTAAACTGCTGTAGATGAGATCCTAGTTTATTCTGCTTGTAGGATACTGTAAGTGATGGGTTAGGTAAAAATTGCCATTTGTGAATCGATCCTGTTTGCAAAGATTTGCAGAGATCATTGGGGACTGGCTAGCTCACCTAAACGCATCAAAAAAGGTGCATGTAGCATTTTTAGCACATGCATTATGCTGCAACACATGTCCATCAGTAAGGTGCGTTGGGGTGAGATTCAGAATAAAAAGCATCACATTGCACCAATGCATATAACCTGTGTTGCCACACGTTTAAGTAACATGTGAGTTACTGCAGTGTAACAGTGTAAATATCCCCTAATAGAATAAGCCTACATACTGTATTGATTAGTGGAAAATTTGACTTTTGTTACCCTTAATCCTGTGAAACTCCGTCATACAGTCATGTCAGGAAGAAGCTTTATTCTTTTATATTGCCCTGCATATGATTGGATGCTTGGATTGAATACAAGTTGTCTGCAGCTCAATTTACACTTTATAAAATCAGGTTTACTGAATCAGGTTTATTATTTTGAGCAACTGTATTTATATTTCATTAAAAAGAAGAGCTCTTGGGAAACGTATTCTTAACCCATGCAGTGGGGCTACCCCATCAATGCAAGGGTTACATGTGTGTTTTTGTTTAGCTTCAAAAATAACAAAGTTATATTCACCAGATCCTCTCGCCTTTAACCGGTCCCTTCCGCTACGCTCCCCCACTGCTGCAAAGGTCTAAGGTGTGACCTGTGAGTCCAAAATACTGTGTATAGGACATGAGGACGCCGAGAAAATGCCATGGCTGCAGCGGAGGAGGACAGAGGATGCACGGACCGATCTATGAGAAAGCCAACTCCGAGCATCTGGTGAGTATAACTTTGTTACTTTGGAACCTACATCAAAAATGAGCACGCAACCCTTGCAGTCCTGAAGTTCTGTTTAATAAATAAAAAATACCAATACTGCTTGCATTAATCCAGATGACCACACAGGAAGTGGAGGAAAGCTTCCTATTGGGGACACAGACAGAAATGAAACCTAACAGAAATTATAACCCTTCACAGCTCCAACCAAGACTACAAAAGTTTTTTGGCTGGAAGTTGGTGCTGAAGAGAAATTATGATATATGTTCGGTAAATTTGGGGATTTCTTTACATTTATTATTATCAGTCAGCAGTAATTTTTATGTGACTTCTAGTTTTTTTTACATACTTGCTGCTCCCTTCCTAATGGTTACCTTTACAGCAAAGAGAGATGATGCTGCAGCCTAAATACATTGGCATGAAAAGTTACACTCTGTTTAATAGCCCAGGCACATCTTTATTCAATATAAGGTTGAGGGAACAGTACAGAAATTGCCAACACATATTGTGGGCTAATAACAAAACCTCCTTCATCAGGGCTTACTAATGGGGAAGGCGTATCTTGACTGCAATTACTTGAAATTAGATACCATCTTGTCCAGTATGTGGGGATGCATAGCGCTCTTCATCAGCTGATTTGGCTGTCTGTCTGTCTGATGTTTATTGGCTTCACAATAAAAACATTGGCTGGGAATATTATTCACTTTTACCTCTCTTGAGGATCGGAATCCACTTCACTCTCCTTCATAATGGAAATCTGTGCTGAACGAAATAAGTTGGATGCCATTGCTAAATTGCCCTTTGGATAATGCTAGTTTCTTGGCTGTCATACTGATCCATTGGCTTCACTACATTGTATCACTGACCAGTAGCACATATAGAGGTCAGAAGTTCTGAATTCACTCTGACTTTGCTTGGTGCATGTGTGTTCCAGGTCAGTAACTCATATTAAGGGCTTGTTCACACCAGCAGCTGCACTCAACCGCACGACTGCTGGTGTGCATGAGCCCAGACAGTACCAATGCACTTGAATTAAGCCACATGGCACTGTATCTTTTTTTAGAACTTTATTGAAATGTCAAAAGTGAGATTTCATTAAGTTCTATGGGCTCACCGTGGTGTGATGCCGCTGTACTGCGCCTCACGGCAGTGCGCTTGCTACACTTTTTTAGGCACACACCACCGGAAAGCAGTGGTGTAAACTGTCACCATCCATGGCAAGGCAAATTGCCTTGTCTTGCGTTCGGACTGCACTGGAAAAAACGGCCAGTGCAGCCCAAATGCAGATGGCGTGAATGAACCCTTAAACCAGAGAGTTGCCGATGTGCAGACAGGCAACTGGCATCTCCACAATGAGGTCAGCAATGCCACCCATATTTATCTTATAACAAGTTGATTGCAGAGATGAGCTAAGCTGCCTTTATGGAGAATCTTTTGCTGATCCTTAGATTAGCGCTGTGCCAAAGTCATTGTACAATACTTCTAAACAGGAAGCAGAGCCTGTCTGTGTAATTAACAGATGTAGCTGCCCCGTGTAGTTTTATATTTACAGACTGTACAAGAAACAAGGGTTATAATGGGTTAACACTTATTGATAAGATTATTTATATTAACCTGATGACATTTACATATACTGCATATCTTAAAATGTATAAAAAGAATATAGTTTCTATGTAAAAGAACTTGTGGTAGACACCTGCACAGTAATTATGCAAAGCCAATGGCATGTTGACACTAGCTTGATTAAGATACGAGATTGATTTAAGAAACAATGCTAAGCTAAACCTGAATCAGTCACTATCATGTTGAAACTCCCAAACCTTTCATTGTTTTATCATTGGTCATTTTCACTGGGATGTTGCAAGATAATTTGTCCAGCCTACTTGTGAAACTTATCATTACTGTAATTTCAGCAAAAATGGGAGGCGGTGAGCTGTCTACATAAAGGAGCCCTGTTTTACCTGGAGAGAGAAGTAAGCAGGAGGTTGGGCCAGTGAGTGGTTGTGCTACAAAGGACAGACTCAATTTTTTAAAAGGAACAAGGATATAATACATCCACTGTTAAGATCTGCTTTCAGGAATGGGTTTCTCCCTGCCTAGTTTCCTCAAGTGCTGCAAAAAGAAAGCCAGCAAGGACCTTGTGGTGAGTGGACCAGAGGGATCATGTATGAATTGAAGTGTCAAGTGTCTGGGAAGTTAGCCAGCTGGATGTTTTCTTTTTTTACGTGTGTTTCTTATAAAATCAACTAAATGAGTATATAAACTAAAGTGTAGTATATAAAAAATGTGTTAACAAGGTAACAATGTGATCCCAAACACTTCTTCTGGTACAGGTGCAGTTCAGGCTGAGTTACATCAAAGACTTGCTGGGATTCTATTTATGATCACCTTTTTATTTATTACTGATATGTAGTAAATGTTGTATGTGATGAGCCATGAGTACTTGTTATGCAAACTTAATAATAACAGACTAATAATAGGATTGGGCTAATAAGCTAAAAAAATAGAATGTAGAATGTACAGTAAATGTTAGTAACCAATCATAAATTATCTTTCACCATCTGATATCTGATTACTGCTATGATCTCCCTGACATTGCACATCATAACTATTTGTACTACTTTACTGAATAAGAATAGAAGTAAGAAGAATGTATTTTGTACTTGGTGTAGGTCAGGAATAGGCAACCTTGGCACTCCAGCTCTTGTAGTACCACAGGTCCTATAATGCATTGCAAGTTTGATAACTGCAGCAATTACTCCTAGAGGCAAAGTCATCATAGGATTTGTAGTTTCACCACAGCTGGAGTGCCCATGTTGCATACCCCTGGTGTAGGTCATCTGCAGCCAAGCTTTAGTTTGTTTATTCGATATCGACATTTTATTAGGTGATGTGATTCATCCAAACACCTCTAGCAATTATTTTTGAGTGTAAAAGACCTGCTGCAACAGTTGATTCAGGTCAAAAGGACACGATGTGGTAACTCTGGGCTCCTGGGGATATAGCAGAATTCATAGTTACAGTATAAATCTTTCTTTGCCGTTACCAGTTTTGCTTTTTATTCATGTTTCCTTTTAAACACCCATAATGCATACATTTTCACATGTGCTTTCAACTTGGGACATGTCTTTTTATTCACATCGCAACACGTGCATTAGTTGTGCCAGTTGAGGGAACATTCAAGGACAGAGTATCCTTGGTACATATGCCCTTAATAAGGTAGAAAGAATAAGGTGTGCAGGTTTATGCATTTACTATTCCTGAAAATGTAAATTTCTTCAACCAAAAATTCCCTATGTAGTAATGTGGTGTGACGTGAAGTAACTGGCTTACTACACATCATGGGTTTAGCTGTGGTTCACACCAGCCTTCTCTTCAGGAATATTCAAAAGTGTGAATGTATGTTTTACATACAAATAATACATTTACACATACAAAGGCTTTTCTATCTCCAATATGTTTCTATTATACCTCAAACACTGATACCAGTATAGGTATTTCTGGCAGGTTCAAGAGGTGCATCTGTCCATTATAGTTGTTTCAGGTAGAACTTATTAAAAAGTGATACGTGAAACAAATATAGAAGATTAGCTCTATGAAGCATAACAAATTCATTGTCTGGTCGGGTCCACCTGTCAGTTTTTCAATGTAAGCAGCTGAGAGCAATAGCCAGACTGCTATTGGCTATTCAAATTGCAACAGCCAATAGAAGGCTGACTACTGAAACCCCACCCCCCACCCCCCCCACTGAGCAGAGGAGCAGACCTGAGAGAGAAAGTTCCCACTCACGTTCGCTCCTCTGCTCAGTGGTTCGATGCAATAGCCAGCCTGCTATACTCTATTGCAATTCGAAATAGCCAATAGCAGGCTGGCTATTGCTCCCCATTGTTTACATTTTGCTGCCGACTGTGGTAACTAGCCATTAGCTGGCAGCAAGGTGTAATCAAATAATTTTTTTAGCAACTAAATAAATGTAATTGCTAAAAAAATTTTTAGTGTACACCAAGCAACCGACAATTTTCTAGTGTGCATCAAATTGGCAGGAAAAACAAATTGAGCACATATTATGTCCTCGATTTTTTTTTGCCGGTTGCTTCAGAGTGCCGGTTGCTTCAATACTTTCCTAGTAACTGTTTAAAGGAATGAAAGAAAGAGAAATATAACCTCCTTCTGTAAATACTAGTTATCATGCTGATGCTCTTATTTAGAACAGACATGCTCATCATGAGTTCTGACTTGGCTTTGTCTTTACTTGCTGCATGCTTGTTCCAGATCAGTGAAAGGATTGAAGCAAAATGCTTCTTTCATAACAAGTTTCCTTTAATTGAGTAGATTTAAACTCTTATATAAACTTTAACAGGTTAATCTAATTTCAAAAATCATGTTCCATATCTTTATTCTGCAGTTTTCAGCCAAATAATATATAGTCATCCTGCTATTAGAGCTTGTTCACACTATATCCAGTCAGTTCCGGCGCGGTTAGTGGACGTAGCGCACTGTATTGCATCAATAAAGCCTCCCACTTTCTAGGGCGAGAAGGATGGTGTAATTCAAGTCATTGGCACCGCAGCCACACCTCCCGCCTGCAGTGCGATCACACACACCAGAACGCATGTTACAGAAATGACTGTGGTCTGGTGCGATCGCAAAAAATTGTGCATACACAATTTTTTGCGATCACCCCGGACTGCGGGCATTGTTGTACCACGCATTTTGGTGTGGGCGATCGCACTGAAGGCGGGAGGTGTATCTGCGATGCCATTGACATTAGTGGCACCGCCACATCCGCTCCCTCCTCAGAATGCAGGGAGGCTTGCTTTATATTTAGTGTGAACCAGCCCTTAAGGTCCATCTTTAGACACCTCCATTTATATGGTGTCAACACTATTCCAGTCTCCCAAATAAGCTACTGCGTTGTCCCCCTGTCACATGGACTTGCAACAGAGACTACAAATGTTCATTTTAACACAACAAGTATTTTTTTCTTTTTTTTTTAAATGGCTCTTGTTTATGATACACAGCGATTTGGCAACATGCCATTCAGTGAGGGTGTGCATCCACTTTAGGATAAAACGTCTAACGCATATAGATTTGAAGCTCTGCCAATAATAAGTCTGTGCTTGCATCAAGCATTAAGTCAGGTTAAGGGAACACTTACCAAACAGGAATTTCTCCTAAGTGGTTTTGTTTGTTTAAGCAGATAAAAGTATTCTGGTCTGGTGTATTCATCAAATCTCAGTAGACTGTATATAAGGAAAGATGTAATCTCTTATACATTCACAGTTCAGGATAACGAAACCCCCGACTGATCATGTTTTGCTTCTCCTGATTATCTATATGTAATTATGTTTGGCCTGTACAGAATTCAGGAATCCGGGCAGTCGTGATCCTTGTTATATTCCCTGTAGTAAGGACAATTCCTCATGCATGTGTTCAAGACGCTCAAAAGTCTGCAATTGCAGCTTTTCAAACTGATTTCTCACCACCATTCAGTAAACTCAAATAATCTTACTTGTTAATAATTCATTTTTTTCCTTCTCCATGTGTTTGCTCATGGATTTGATAAAGATAGGAAACAGAACAGTAGCAAAGCGGAGATTAGAGTTATCTGTTTACTGAACAGGACTCTCTGCACTGTAACGTTAAAGTGTATCTAAAGGCATTTTTTTTTTTTTTTTAGTTTTGGATAGTGTGGGAAAGGATTAGAACCCATGTCAAGTTTTGCTGCCATCTAGAGCTCTCTTAAACAAGAAATCCGGGGGGGAAATGTTAACCATTGCAGTGGGGCTGCTCCTGCAGTACAAGGGTTAAGTACTCATTTGTGTCTAGGTTAAAAAGAAAAAAGTTATACTCGCCTCATCCTTGGAGCTGGCTGGCTCTTAGACTGGTACCTGAAGCCTCTCTCCCCCTCATTTGCAGTGGTCTAAGGATCCTTGAGTCAATACTTTCTATACAGTGTATAGGATGTGAGGACTTTGAAGGACCATCTCTGCAGCGGAGGAGAAGACAGGAGGAAGGGAGCACTGTCACAGCCTGCCTGATCTGAGGTTCAGGTGAGTATAACTTTTTTTAACCTAGACAGAAGCGAGCACTTAACCCCTGCAGTGCAGTGGTAGCCCCAGTGCAAGGGTTACGATTTTTTCCCCCGGAGTTCTGATTGAAGCTGGCCATACATTATACACTAGTTTAACCAAAACTATATGAGGGTTATTCACAAAGCTGCCCGAAGGCAGCCGAGTGAATAACCAAGCCAAAGTGGAGTGAGCCGTACGCCGTTCAGCTACTCACTAGAGCTCAGTACGGCTGATTTCAGCCATACATCGGCTAAAATCAGCCATACATCGGCTAAAACAGCTGTACATTGGCTGGCTTTGGCTGCCTCCGGTCAGAAGGGCAGAAACAGTTCAACTCAGCCAATCCAACATCTGGATCAGCTGAGCCGAAGCTCCGGCAGTTCATTCACTGCTGCTTGCCCCTTATTCTCATAGTCCAGCGTTGTCCAAGACGATGACTCGGCGAAATAAAAAAAATAATAAATAAAAAATTATTGAAAACATTTTACGACCCGATCGCATGTGACGAACTCCTGTTGCAGAATGAAGAATCTGACAGATGCTGTCAAAATATAAACAATTAGCATCACCGCTAGCTCCGCCCAACTGTTTACATTTGGTCGGTACCTGCCAGAGTCTTCAGGCAAGTCCCGGAGAAATGAAAACAACTGGGCAGAGCCCAGTTGCCATGTAATGACTGCCAAGTGTCCTCAAATAACCTGAGGACGTTTGTCTGTTAATACATGACAACAGCTGGGCACAGCCAGCCGTGGCATCACAGCAGGCTCTGCCCAGTTGTTGTTGTTTTATGACAGACCAGTGCCCCCTAGTCATTTGAGGATGCTGATCTGTCATTACAGTACAACACTTGGGCAGAACCAGCCATGACTACTCGGCTGGTTCCACCCAGCTGTTGTCATTCACCGGACAAATGGCTGAGCTGCTCGGCTGCCTTCAGCTGCTGTACAGGGTATAGTAAAAAGCCCATACAGCAGCCCTTCGGTTCGAGTGAACTGAAGGACTCCGGCGGCTGAAGTGAACCGAAGGATCAGCTGAAGCCTCATTAGTGAATAACCCTTTATAAGTAATATGAAGACAAACCTACTGTAAACCTTCCTTTAAATTAGTATAAAATCGGGCAGGCCCTTATACTAGATAGTTGATGGTAGATCTAAAGGAGATTGCACAAGAAGATTATAGTACATGATCAGCGATAGCGAGATTTCTCCTCACTTTCAAGTGGAATCCAAATATTTCTGCAACACTAGAAAATGAAGGAGTTATGATAGCACTCAAACCAAAAAACCAAACAGCAGCCAAGCAGACTTCATCTTATTTAGGTCAGATGAATGGGAATTGTGATACTCTTCGTAGCTCATGTAGCTGAGTATGTCTGATGTCTTTCTTAACATCATTTTCTTTTTCATAAGGATCCTACGGCAAACACAGATGAAAACACAGAACGTGGAAACTGGTCCAGTAAATCAGAATATCTCCTGTCTATGGTGGGATATGCTGTTGGCTTGGGCAACGTCTGGAGATTTCCATATCTAACGTTTCAACATGGAGGAGGTAATACACCAAAGTGGGTTGTCTTCAGGGAATTTCTTACCTAACCTTACTGTTGCCCATTATGGTAAGGTAGATTAAAGCCTTGTTCACACCAAATGCAGAGCAGATTCGGTCAGGTTTCTGCACACGCACGATGCGTTTTTGATGCGTTTTTGATGCGTTTTTGATTTCCCAGGAAGCTAACAAGGTTATGAGGTAATTTCCTTTTACCTCTGACCTTTCATTAGCTGTTCCGATTATTTCCTGCTTCCTCTGACCTTGTTTCACATGTAAAATTGTTGCAACATGGATCCATGGGATGCAGGCATGCTCCTGGTGATGGTTATTATACTGCTACGCCAAAGTGCTGTAAGGAGACGTCACTTTTGGGTGCACCCACTGATGAGAGAAAGAGATCCAAAGGGCCAGTTTGGGACTCTATATGCAGACCTTCGTGCACACCCAGACAAGTTTTTTTCATACACCCGCATGTCGATATCCGGTCTGCACCTGCTCTGGTCTGGATCTGCTCCGCGCTTGGTGTGAACAAGCCCTAAGACTACCTCTAAGCAGACCCATATGATTACGTTGAGGGGAATTTATCAAAACTGGAGCAGAGAAAAATCTGGAGCAGTTGCCCAGGGCAACCAATCAACTACTCTCTTCAGTTTGCTCAGTTAGGATTTGAAAATGAAAGAGAGAAGCTGATTGGTTGCCGTACACAGCTGCTCCAGATTTTGTCTGCTCCAGTTTTGATAAATTCCCCTCACTGTATCTTCTGATTTCCATGCAATGAAAAGATCCCAATGGTTTAGGTGTAGTGAGACAGATAGACTGAAGACTCAGGGCCCCTACAGTAGGTAGAGTCTAATTTCTAAATTCCATTAAGCTAATCCAACAACTTCCAGTGTAGTCAGTATAGTGATATGAATGTACATGTCCAAGCTATCCACTAGTGCTCCAGTTCCATAGCCTAAAGTCCTCCCAATCTTCTAGGCTTGCCCTCCCTGTAATTGTAGAAAAATGCTTGCAAAGCCAAGGTTTTCACATGGTATACTGCCACATATCTACATTATAGTACAAGGGGTTTAGAAGCAATGTGATGGGCATTGCTGCCTCAGATCACTGAGATCCTAGGTTTGCATTTACAAATGCTGCCTTCCATATGTTTTCTGTATGTTTGCTTTGATTCCTACATGGCACCACTGTTTCTTCCCACAATTCCAGAACACATTAAAAGAACTGCTGCCTTGCTAAAATGATTCTCAAATGTGTGTGCTTATATGGCTGCACTAAGAAAATTAAGCTGCTTATACATAAACTGCCATGATTGTTTGGAGCCAAATAATACTCCTAAATAACCTGCTGTTCACCTAACAGTACTTCAACTGTTTCACAAATCTTGTGACACCTCCTGATTATTGCCCTTGAGACAGTAATATGACACACCAGGTCACTAAGAATACTGGAAGAAAAGTCTGTTAGATGATTAGGAGATTGCTCAGAATATCATCATTTTTGTGCCAAACACAGAGGGTTGATCACACAATCAATTGATCTGTGCAGTGTTTCTGTCTTTGTATGGCAATCTCCAGTTTGTAAGTTCCAATGGTACAGATATTGATGTGGATGTAGTACTCTGTAAAGCACTACAGTGATGTTATATAAATAGAGGACACACAATATACTGTATATTTGAGCTTATATAGAACACAAAAATGTCCACCTAATCTTTCCTGGCAATTGCATTTCGAAATCAATTCATTTTGTTTTTCAGAAATATACTGAAATAGTTACATGACTTCCTTAGGTGAAATTTTAGTTCTACACTCTTATTAAGTACACTTTAAGGAAACAATTATACAATACTGTGTTCATACCATATCACTTTAACCAGAACCTGCAGTGTTTAATGTGTGCGCAGTAAAAATTCACATCTTACACAATGTTTACACAAGATCATTTTGTTCTGGAACACGAACAATGAGGATGATGTATAACAACAGATAAACTGGTATATGAATGAAATATCACCTTACTGTGTATAATATAATACTTTATATTAGATTAATTAGATGGAGATGTAGTTAAAAGTTGGCCCCTGACCTCATGGGGCCAGGGGCAGGTTGAGCCTCTGTAATTATGTCCTATGTTTTTTTTCAAGCTACAATACTTATACTTTTAATTTGTTTCATGTGGTTATATTAATAAATATGTTTTACAGGTGCCTTTCTTATCCCATATACCATCATGTTGGCTCTAGCTGGGTTACCGCTCTTCTTTCTGGAATGTTCCCTTGGTCAATTTGCCAGTTTAGGACCTGTGGCTGTGTGGAAGATACTTCCAATCTTTGAAGGTCTGTCCTAGTGATAGAAATGTTAGATATACGTGCAATAAAAAAAATAATATGTTGAAATGCACATTGTGAACAGAAGATGACAAAACTTCACTTCTGATCGGTCATTCACTCGGCTGCCCTCGGCAGCTTTGTGAATAGACCCCTGTATATAAACTATACCGGGCCGTAACTGCAGATCACGGGGCACCATTGAAAAAATTTAATGGGGGCCCTCCTTATGACATCTCTCTGAGCTGTGAGTAACGATGGCAAGATCACAATGACTCCTCTTGTGGATCTTTAATCATCTCCACACTGTAGACATTACAGGAGATTAGAGTTGTTGTCAACTGCAACCACTCCGACTCTTAGGGTCAACACACAAATTACAATCTGGCTGTACAATCTCTGTACAATCAACTTTAGATATACCAAATCTATGTAATATGCGGACCTACTCAATCAATCCAATCTATCTGTATACAATCAGGTAGGCCCTTGTACTACACACTTGTTGGTAGATCTAAAGAAGATTGTGCAATCAGATTGTCACGTGTGTGGTGAGCTTTACTGATACAGTGTTGTATTATCTTCACATGTTCTATGCTTAATTTGCCTCAACAACCTAATTCGGCCCCCTTCCACCGCCAGGCCCTATAGCAGCCGCCTGGACTGCTATGACTGCTATAGTTACATTATTGAAAGTATATACACTGTATGTGTGTGTGTGTATTATTGAGAATGGAGTTGTTGCCAAAAGCATACATTTAGGTTTTCTTAAATAAAACAAAGTTTATAATTGGTCACTAAAGGCATCAAATCCGCTTCTTTTTTTCTCTGATGCTTTAAAAATATGCCTTATACAGAAATATATGCTATTTATCCTAATAATTTTTACTTTTTTTCCATCACAGGAGTAGGAATTACAATGGTCCTCATTTCAACTCTAGTCACTATTTACTACAATGTCATCATTGCATACAGCCTGTACTATTTGTTTGCTTCATTTAGAAGTGTGTTACCGTGGTCGGAGTGCTTTGAATGGTCTGACAGCAAGTGCAGCAAAGTACCTAAAGGTAAATCCAATTGGTTATTGGCAACAAGCCATCATCGATTTTCAGTTATCTTTCTCTGGTTTATCAGCATATTATTTACATTACACCTGTTCACCAAAATATGTTATTGTTTTTACATGCAAAGACTGGATTTCACTCTTACCATACTGTCCCTCTTCTACTAAATCAGCTAAAAGAAATCAGTACAAGCCAAAGGTGACCATTTTCTGAACTTTGTTTACCATCCAGGATTTCCTACTGCCCTGCCAAGTCAGCTGCTTAGTGTTCAAATCCCATACTCCATGCCCAAGTGTTTTCTATTTATTTAAAAAACAGGTTTAAAATCTTTGATAAATATCAAGCATTTTATAACTAACTATTATCTTTTTTTTCCAAGATCTTCAGTCTTCTACTATAT